TCCATTTGTCTAAAGATGCAACCTATATCTTAAGTTGGAATAGATTATGGCAACTATTGAGTCTTCAATGAGCCACCAAAAATTAGCAAATGGACATGTGCGCTATTGGAATGCAGGCCTAGGACTTTCTTTCTCCCTCTGCCCTCCCCTGTGACCTCCACATTCTCTGAGCAGAAAGGGCAGGAGGCGTGAACACGCAGATGCTGGATAACACTCACTATTGCCTCAGTTTCCATGTGCTAACAGTGCCCCTTTACTGACTTTACTGTTCTTCCTGTCATAAACACCTCCTTAGAGGCCTTTTCATGTCCAACCCCTTGTCATCTACCATCCTGCCTCTCAGGCAGGGCAAAATCCCTCATTCTCTTACTCTCATTTTCTCCTGAAACTCCTCCCTTTCATATTCTTAATGTTCCCTCCTCCTTAGAAGCCCATTATCTATTTTGACATTTGCTGCACAGATTCCTAGAACAATACGAAAAATCCAAAAATGTACTGTTCTTCCCTTTGTTGATCTGTCTCACCTGAACAATGAACACAGTGCTGTGGAATATGGGTTAAAAATTAGTTCATCAAAATGTTTATATAATTGAAAATTCTTCATTGTATGTAATGTATTCATTCATTTAAAAATACTTATTGAATATTAAGTGGCAGGCATTCGGCATTGAGGATAGAAAAGAGTGTGCGAATGCCTAAAATATTATGCATTTCGATATGGAAATACTTGGGCAATATTACACTATGGTACATATTGAAGTGGTGAGTTGCTTGTGCCCACTTGTAATGAACATGTTTTAATAAGAGAAAGAAGAAAATATTTGACAATGGAATAACGTCAAATCTTTGATGTTTTTTAATTAAATAAAGCAGAACGTTTGTTTATATACCTACCCATCACCGTGAGTGTTCTTGATCATGGGAAGTTATAATCTAGTAGTTAGAAAACATATAAGTGCCATCATGTCATCATTCCGTCTTATGGGAAATGCCCTTGAATTCAAAATCTCATTTGTTAGTGACTAATTTACTCTTCAGTTTGATAGGACTTGAGGCACGCTCCAGGGGCTCCGTGTTGCTTCAGGTATCTGCTTTGATCTTTCATGAAGAACTTGATATTGATAACTAGCTCTTGTAATCTTTCAGCTATGGAAACTTAGGTGGACTATTTCTTCTTGTACTGCAAATTATACAATGAATACATCAAATGTGATGAGGAAGGGATGAGTCATTGCTTCCCGGTGTTTCTAAAAATATGACAGTTCACAGATATCATAATCTTATGCCAGAGACAGGTGAGAAAGATCCATCTTAGAGAGAGAAAGAAAAGAGAGATTTGGATAAAATATGTGATTCCATTTTTGATCCGTATTTGTTGTGTGACCAGGACAAATAGGAAAATATGAGAATATGACCCCCTTACTTGTCACACAAGAGGTAATAATGAACAGTCAAAGGGTATACAAAAACACTTAAACACTTTGAAAAATATATGTTATAGAGAAGATAGCATGAAGTATTGTGACTGCTACATATATATAATATAATATATACATTATATATATAATTAGAATAAAAGTTATTGGCTCTGACTTTATCAAAAATATTAATTCAACTTTGTACCAAAATATTGCAGGGCAAAGGAATAGGGCTCAACTTAGCATCATCAATTTTCAAGGAGCAACACAGGAGTAGTTACTAGCTTTGGTTTTGTTATTTTTCTAATGCTATCTAAGAATATTGTGCTGGAATAGAAAGGTGTATTTGATTGGGTTGAAGGATGTCTAGATGGATGGTGAAGCATTTTTTCTGGGGGTGTCTGTGGGGGTGTTTCCAGAGGAGATTGGCAGATAAGACTGAGAGAAGAAGACCATGCTGTCTGTTCATTGGACTAGACTTTTCTCCTATTTACTTATTCAATAACATCATATACAACAGAAATTTTCAAAGAGAATGCCAATTCGGTTTATTTTGGTTTGGAAACAAAATGCTGTGTTTGTATTTTTACTTACTCTTGGGAATGGTGTTGCCTACATTCTTTCACTGAGTAAGTATAATTTTAAAACAATGTTGCATCGCCACTTCATATCCATTGAAATTTCTATTATATGTAAAAAAGAAGTATTGGTGAGAGTTTTGAGAAACTAGAACCCTAGTGTGCTGTTGGTTAGAATGTAAAATGGTTCAGCCACTGTGGAAAACAGTATAGTAGTTTCTCAAAAAAATAAAAATAGGATTACCATATGATCCAGCAATTCCACTTACGTGTATATACATCAAAAAAAAAAAAAAAAAAAAAAAAGGAAAGCAAGGACTTAAACAGGTATTCGTATGTCAGTGTTCATAGCAGTATCATTTATAGTAGCCAAAATGGTGAAAACAACCCAAGTGTCCTCAATGGAGGAATGGATAAACAAAATGTATTATATACATAAAATGGAATATCATTCAGCCTTTAAAAAGAAGAAAATTATGACACAGAAATAAAACTTGGAGACATCATGCTGAGTGAAATAAGCAAGTCACAAAAGGACAAATACTGTATGAGTCTACTTATATGAGGTATCTAGAGTAGTCAAATTTGTAGAGACATAAAGAATGGTGGTTGCCAGAAACTGGCGGAAAGGTTGAATGCGGAATTGTTATTTAAATGAGTAGAATTTTAGTTTTGCAAGATGAAAAACGTTCTGGAGATGGATCATCGTGATGGTCACACAACAACGTGAATATACCTAATGCTATTGAGCTGTACACTTAAAATGATTAAAATGGTCAGTTTATGTCATGTATATGTTACCACAATTGAAATAATTAATGGTGTATTATCTCAAGGAATCTAGCTAACTAATAAATTGTGACGTGAGTCAAAGTTGGGTACAATGTTTATTTTAATAATGAAGTTTGATATTATTGAGGAGAGAGCGTTAATATAAGTTGGACAATAACTATTTGAAATCTTATAATCAGTGAAGCTGAAATTACAGTTTAAACTTATAGGGAATCTGGCGGATTGGGGCCAGGATGTTGATTTCTTGTACAATATTAGACAACAGGGGAAATCTGTGCAAATGAGGCTGATTCTATTTCTGTGATTTTAATTCTAAAAGGCATTTGGATCAGATTTTCTATGCTGGAGAGAGAAAAGTCCATTGTGATTGTTTTCACATCTTAATTATTGTACTATACCATACTCCTTTTTTTTTTTTCTTTCTTTCTTTTTTGAGACAGAGTCTTCTCTGTTGCCCAGGCTGGAGTGAAGTGGCATGGTCTCAGCTCACTACAACCTCCGCCTCCCAGATTCAAGTGATTCTCCTGTCTCAGCCTCCCAAGTAACTGGCATTACAGGCACAGGCCACCACGCCCAGCTAATTTTTTTATTTTTAGTACAGATGGGGTTTCGCCATGTTGGCCAGGCTGGTCTTGAACTCCTGACCTGAAGTGATCTGCCCACTTCAGCTTCCCAAAGTGCTCGGATTATAGGCATAAGCCACCATGCCCGGCCATACTCTTGTAAATATATTTTATGTTGTATAACCTCCAAGATTAATGAGATGAATATGAGCAGAGAGATGGTCTGTAGAACATACCCAGGCTAGCACAGAAAATTTCTTCAGCTCATGTACCAAAGGTTGGGTTTTAGAAGGTGTCATGGAGAGTTCTAAAAGTTAGTTGTTACCTTATTCACTCAGACATTTCAATGAAAAGCCAAGTGCCTCCAAATGAAGGCTGGTGCTGTATTAGTAACGGTTCTCCAGAGAAAAAGAGCCAGTAGAGCATATATAGATACATAGAAAGAGGTTTATTGTGCAGAGTTGGCCCACACAATTGTTGAGGCTGAGAAGCCCCACATTTTGCCATCTGCAAGCTGAGACACTGGTGATGGAGTTCCAGTCCAAACCCAAAGTTCTGAGAATCTGGAGAGCCAATGTCATAAGTCCTAGTCTGAATCTAAAGGCCCAAGAACCAGAAGCACTGATGTCCAAAGGCAGGAGAAGATGGATATCTTAGTTCAAGCAGAGAGAGTCCATTTGCCCTTGCTCTGCCTTTTTGTTCCACTTAGGCCCTTAACAGATTGGATGATGCCTACCTACATGGGTGAGGGAGATCTTTATTCAGCCTATGGATTAAATGCTCATCTTTTCCAGAAACACTCTCACACTTACACTCAGAAAAAATGTTTCTCCAGGTATCTGAGCATCCCTTAACCCAGTAAACTTGACACATAAAATCAACTATCACAAGTGCCTAGAGGCTCAATTTCCTGTGTTCCTCCCTTAGACACTAAAATGGGATCTAGCAGTCCTTGGCTCTAGGCCCTCATTTACATTGATAATTAGGAGCTCGGCTCTAAGTGTAAAGACAGAGCTAAGGAATAAGAGGAGACTAACAGACTGGACTGGAGTAAAGCATGCAAAGAGCAATGGACACTCTCCCTACCATTGCCCATCACTACTCTTTTTCTCATTTTCAGAAAGTTTTAAGCAATAATAATAATAACAACAAGATGTTAAGAAGTTTGAAGAGAAGAAGATAATTGTTATTTAAACTGGACAAAGAGGCTTCTTTCACCAGACGGATCCTCCAGCCTCTCTCTGAGGTGACGTATTCTCAGATGCAGCCACATTTACTAGAAAGTGAGGAAAATAATTGTAGATAATTGTGACTATTCTCAAAAGTGAGACATTGTTTGTAATTGTGTAAATACAAACATCTAAGCTAAATTAAACTAAAGACGTGGGAATTCACACAAATAACACTGGACGACTGAAATGTCCTTTTTCCTAAATATATAAAGGCTTTATCCTGAGCTGTCCACATCTGGATCTATGCAGTGCCTTGTAAGAAAGAATAAGACAAGTGAAATAGCCATATACATAGCCCTGGAAAGACGTACTGCATAAATGTCTGAAAGGGATTTGTGTTCCCTTGGTGCTAAATTGTGCCACAAGAAAGAAAATTCCAAGCTGAGAAACCCACATCACCATACCAGAGCCACTGACTAGATTGAAGCACTTTTTATTCTTTCTGGTGAACTAGAGAATCACATGAATTGTGTCCTTGGAGGACACTGCAGGCAACCATTTTCTGTTCCTCTTGGTGCTGGTCATCCTTCCACTGCAGGCATTCATATTCATAACACATTCAAGGCATGCTAACTTGTGGGACCTGCATGGGATCACATCCCAGTGCACTGTCTGTGAACCTCGCCTATGGTGCCTTTGTGGGGCATTAGGAAAGGAAGAAAGGAAGGTGGGTGATTAAAGTGAATGGAAGCAAAACTGCCATTCTCAACTTTGATCTACAAGGATCAGTATGGAGACGATTATATCCTCCCACCGTAAGCTCTCAAAGAACACTCTGCTAGAGTGGTACGACAAAGACACCGTCCTCATTAAGGAGACTTGTGTTTAGGTGGCTCCACGAGATCATTTATAGTATAAGGAATAAGTTTTTGTATTTCATTTTGCCATGTGCAAGTGATAAGGACATATCCCCTCCTATAAAATGATTCGTATCGACACATTGGTATGTCAGATGCTTCTGTTAAATTACAATACACTCCTTCTACTAGATTCTTGCTCCTGTTACATTTCCTAATCCCATTCTTACATGGCACAAATCCGTTGTAACAGGTTTTTTCCAGCTCATCATATTGCATAAGAAGGAAGTAATGTTCTGTCACACAACTGTGTTTGTAGTAAACATTTTTTCTCATTATTTGATAATTACAGTAGCCACTATCACCTAATGGCATTCCAGGATTAACAAGGATACGTCTTTTGACTTTTTCTTTGCTAGGTGGTCTGGTGGGCCCTGTACTGTGAAATTCTACCCAAAAGTCTTCAAAGCCTTCTGTACTTCTATATGCTGGCAAATAATAATCTTCATAATACACCTCTTGAAACTGCAGTGGTTGCAGCAGCAATAGAAGCAGAGGCAGTGAGTATGTGGTGATCAGCATTCTCATCACGTTTCCTGTAGACAAGAGATAAGATATGTTCTATTGCGATAATGTGCTTGCTTCAATTTCCTGTGCGGGGCACATTTATGCCATTTATTGCCATTCTGGGCTCTAAAATATTGGACCATTTTTAAAATGGCCAACTCATAATCTTTCTGAATATTTCTAAATTATTGACAAAAATGACCTTACTAGGCCTACAGTCAACCTAGAGCTGTAGTAAGAGAAGAAAAGGTGAAAGGAAAGAGAACGAGAGAGGGAGAGAAATGACGGTAAGGAGGAAGAAAAGGAAACAAGGACAAAATGGAGCAAGAGCGAGATTAAGGAGTGAGGAAAGGAGAAAGGAAATCAAGACAGCAGTGGGGAGAAAGAGAGGGAGGCAGAGCGGAGGCTCACATGCTCCTTCCGGCTGAAACAAATGCATCTTTTCCCTTTCTAGGAGTTGAGAACTTGCCCTGAAAAGAGCCGTAAGTGATCCATGCTCCCCTTTTAAACATTCTAGTTGATGAGAAAAATTCCTTAACAATGTCTTGCTTTATCTTCTTGCTCTTATCTGGCCATAGATGCCCTTGGGGAAGGGGCTGAGCAAGGTTCAAGTTCGAGCAGCTGAGATCAATACATTCTTGAAGTCCCCCTGAAGTAAAAATAATGATACACGGTAATAGCTAGCATAATGAGGAGTTCTGTGCAAACACTAGACTAAGCACTTTAAGTACGTTATTACCATTATCTAAACAAACCTATAATAAATATTTTTAGTATTGTTGTAACAATAAAAGTTGCAAAAAAGAAGTGTGACGTTATTAACATCTCTCTGTGAAGGGAAGTTGCTTAAAATCTTACATTAGATCTGGCAGACTCCTGGTTCAAGCCTACTTTTGTCTAATTTCCACACATCTGTTTTTTTGTTTTGTTTTGAGACAGTTTCATTCTTATTGCCCAGGCTGGAGGGCAATGGCATGATCTCTGCTTACTGCAAGCTCTGCTTCCCAGGTTCAAGCCTCCTCAGCCTCTGCCTCCCGAGTAGATAGGATTACAGACATGCACCACCATGACTGGCTAATTTTTTGTAGTTTTAGTAGAGATGAGTTTCTCCATGTTGGTCAGGCTAGTCTTGAACTCCCGACCTCAGGTGATCTGCCCAACTTAGTCTCTCAAAGTGCTGGGATTACAGGAGTGAGCCGCGGGGCCTGACCTCCACACATCTGTTTTTAACTGCTATTCTATGGCCTCTGTCAGTCTGCTTTCTCTTCCTAAGATTAGACTGTATCTCCCTCTCTAGGCTGTTAAACACAATGACTACTGAAATGGCCAGTACTAAAACTGAATTTGAGTGCTTTGACAAACTGATCCACATTCCGTGAAGAACCAACTGGTTTATTGCAGAAGCAATCTCCTGAGTTTTCTTACCTTACCAGGCTCTTTGTAAAAGAAGTCCTACTTGGTGACAACCTGAGCGATTTTCTAACAGTCATAATCTGGAGACCTTGATCTCCAGGAGATGAAGGTGGAGAGCCTCCTGTTCTAGGCTAGATATATGTGCGTAGAAAGGTTAGAGAATGATGGAATTAAAGAAAGGTGGGTGTTGGGGGACACATCAGAAAGTGGAGACAATAACAAAGTTGAGTGTAGGAGTGCAGAGAATGGGAAAAAAAAAGAAAAAGCTGCCTAAAACGGTGAGGGGAGAATGGGCACTCTGGGGTAGCTGTGTGCCACACTGTCCCTCCTCTCCCTGCTTTTCCTCCCATCCCTGCTTTCACACTCTCATCAGTGTCCTCCAGGAAGTCTCTTCAGAAGAGTGATCCTATGGTGACAGGCCAGAGAGCTCAGAACATATTCCCATGAGAGCGTGGAGCCTCTGCAACATCTTGAGCTGGAGAAAGCACGGACAGTACACGTGGGAAAGCAGAATTCAGGCAGCTGTGATCCTGCCCTTTCTACTTTCCGAGGACATGCACAGGGCCCGTCCGGAACACTTCTTCGTTTTTTAAATCTGCAACCTTCTTAATCCTTGATTTATGAATTCAACTTTTGATTTCATTCTTCTCAAAACCCTTTCTCATCTCAAAGTATATGAATTTTTTAATAGTCTGTTCACTTACTATTGATTTTTAGAAGTCTTTCAACCATCTGGAATTTATTTTCATGGATAGTAAGAAGTTAGGTGTGGTCTTATTTCATATGGTTTATACATAATCTCAGCACCAATTATTTGGGAAAAAAATCTATTCTCTCATTCCTACTTTTAAATGCTACTTTCTATGTGTAACTATTCTGTTTCTGAACACTTTAGTGTGTTTTGATATGCCAATAGTATGCTGTTTTGCTTATTATCATTTTACTGTGGTTTTTTTTTTTGAAATGGAGTTTCGCTTGTTACCCAGGCTGGAGTGCAATTGCGCGATCTCAGTTCACCGCAACCTCCGCCTCCTGGGTTCAGGCAATTCTCCTGCCTCAGCTTCCTGAGTAGCTGGGATTACAGGCACGCGCCACCATGCCCAGCTAATATTTTGTATCTTTAGTAGAGACAGGGTTTTACCGTGTTGACCAGGATGGTCTCGATCTCTTGACCTCGTGATCCACCTGCTTCGGCCTCCCAAAGTGCTGGGATTACAGGCTTGAGCCACCGCGCCCGGCTACTGTGTTTTTTTGAGTCATGATCTCACCTGGTTGCCTCAGCTGACTCAGAACTCCTGGGTTCAAGGAATCCTCCCACAGACCACCAAGTAGCTGGGACTGCAGGTGCACTCCACTGTACCTGTACTTATTATCATTTTATGAAACATTTTGGTATCTCATAAAGCAATCTACACTCATTCCTCTTCTTATTCAGATATTCACTACGGAGATAAACAGAAAGCAGATTACAGGGTGCCTGGGGTGGGTGGTAGAAATGGGGATTAACAACAAATGGGAGAAAGAGAGAGAGAGAGAGAGAAGCAGTGAGGGAGGGAGGGAGAATCTCACACAGCAGAAACGCCAGGCCTACCTGTGGAATGTAGGTTTCTTGGATTTTTCTCAGTTCTCACTAATTGAAATTTCTGTGGATGATCTATAAATTTGCATTTTAAACAAATTTACAAGGTGATTCTTAGCTTACTAAAGTTGAAGAAGGAATTTCTTAATATGCTTTAAAATGAGCTTGTGATAAAGCAAACATCCTAAAACAGTGGGAAAGTGTTTGGCCTTTTCAGTAAACGTCTTTGGAAGAAGAATGGGATGAGTTACTTCCTCTTTCTGACTATTGTGAATCATGTTGCTATGAACATGGGTGCACAACTATCTTTTCAAGTCCCTACTTTTCCTCCCTGCTTGTAAATTTGCTTGGAAGTTTTATTGCAACTTAGATTTGCCGACTGAGAAAGGCCTGAGAGGGGTTGTCTAACTATTCTCTCTCCTAAAATGCAAGTTCTGAGCCCCAGATCAGAACTCTATATTTAACCACAGCCATAAGAAGTTTATAGTAAGAAGAAAAAACTGGAATGAGTAATGGGCTTGTAGGTGGACCAATATATTTCAGAAGTATTATTAAGTGGTATTTAAAATTTTAAAGTTTAAGATTAAAATTTAAATTTAAAATTGGTTTAAATTAATCTTTTATTGAACAGCTTACACAATGAAGCCTTAATAAATCATGATCATATAATAATTATATAGCCTCAATCACAAAAGGAAAAACTAAATTAAATCTTTTAAATTGGTGATAATTATAATAACTTACAAACTCAATGCTGATGAGAGTCTGATGAGATGTTTCTGATCAGAAAGAAATTATTATAATTTTTTTAAATTTGAGAAATATAATAAAAAGAATAGTTGATACTTTCCTCTAGCATTTCAATAGCTACGATTGTAAGTTGCCATAATTTATATTGAAAGACAGCCAGCAAATTTTACTTAAAAGGGAAAAAATTGTAATTTTAAAATATAAATATCCAAAAATGTGGGAAAGGAAAAGGCTACATTGAGTCTGATATGTTCATAGAAATGACAATAAACATTGCAACAATAATGGCTATTATTATAAGAGCTAATATTTATTGACACCTCAATATTGTATATTCATAGAATTGCATATTCTTAGAATGGGCTATTTTTTAGAATTTACAAATATATTAATCAAAATTTTAGATCATCTGAGAAACAAGAATAGAAAAAAGAAAAGAATTAAAAATTTTAGAGATACAAAATATTTTGTGATATAATATTATAGTATTAGGACTCTCTGGGTGACAGTGAGAAAAATTCCAAACAAATTACCTTAGATGCAAGAGGCACTATATTGACACAGAAGTTGGAAGTCCAAGAGGTAGGGCAGGAGAAAGAAATCAAATTCTTGACTAGACTCTTGTTTTTTCTCTCTCCCACTCTATTCTCCTTTGTACACTAACTTTATTGTCTTGTAGGTTCTCTCCATGTAATGACAGAGTTAATCATTGCCACCTTTGTGGCCTTATATTTAGGGTCACAGTAGGAAGTGCCATTCTCTGCCACCTTCACCCAACATGGAAAAGAACTTTTCTGATTGGCCATGCTTCTGTCATACGAATAAATCCAGGGATGTGGAGCACTCTGATTGGTTACCTGAAACACATGTCCTCTTTGAGAAGTAAAGGTAAAATTAAAACCCAACAGAATTCCAATTGTCGACAGAAAGGCTGTTACCTATTACACAAAAAAGGAATGGAGATGAAATCCAAAAGTAATAAAAGTGCTTTGCTGTTTAGCTGGGGGAAAATCAAAATACTCTATCTACAGCATGTTCACAATTAACAGAAATATAGATACATGGGAAAGAAAAAAAAAGAAAATTTTAATGTTATTTATGAATGACTTATTTGGTTTTTTTTTACTTTAATCTTTAAAATTGTCAGTTTTACAAATTCAAACAAATAAAATGTCATTGAAGAAGTGAAGTTTTCAGATCTGGATTGGACATGTTCTTAAATATTGAGTGCTAATTTTCCAGACTCCCACATTTTTACTTTTTTTTTGACTCCCACATTTTTATATCAGTAAACCCACTTTTCATCAGCATCAGAAAAATCTATTCTTTAGTTTGAGTGGTTGAGAAAAGATAGATTATACAATTTCAATCCTTAGAATTAGACTAACCTTTGTGAATAAATCTCAGGTATATCTTAGTTAAATCCAGTTGAAAAATATAGGTTTTAACCAGCTTTAAATTTTCAGAAACATTATGAGGCAATATTTATGCCTCAAATCTTCACAGCCATGATTTAACTGAGAATGGTATCAGGATGGGAAAATCTGGAGGAAAAATGTTATTCTTGTGAGTAAGTAAGAGAATCAGCAAGTTCACTGATAGAGCACATCTTTTGCTCTATTGAAGACATTTCCTCCCTTAGGGCCACTATAAAAACTTAAGTGTCGGAGCTTTAAGCAGCGCACATACTAGACATACAAAAAACAAGTGTTTCTAAATAACTGAAAATCAACCTTCAGAGCATGAAGAGAGTAATTTTCATATATGAAGTCAAAGCAGGTCTGGGTTCACAGAAATCTCTTCAGAATTTACGGCAGTTTTTTGCAAATTTATTTTTACTCATATCTTATTTAGCTTTTTTAATTGTACAATTCCTCAAAATTTTTAAAAGACTTAGATATTTATTTTTCCCGTAATGGCAGCATGAGTCCAGAAGGCATAGACTGAGATGTGGACTCTGGTTTTGTTTGATTTCATAAGTTGGTATTTCTCAGGGATCAGAAATAGCAGGAAAATTGAAGTATGGAATATATGAGAATAGGCTATCTCCTAGATTTGGCATTGGAAAAGGAAGTAAATCTGGTGAAATGGTAGGTTCTATATTAAGAAAAAAATAACATAGATGCTAGTTTTCATGTCATGCATACACATACACACACTTCACAATTTATGATGAACTAGAAATCAAAGTAATATTTTAAGAACAATAATAAGGATATTGAATTAAAATATAGCAGAATATTTTTAATCATTTTTGAGTAAATAAAAGATGTTCTTATTAAAAAAGACAAGAGCACAGGCATAAAGAAAATCACTGACTTGATTACACACACATAAACTGATTGCATACCATATACATGAGTGCACAGAAAATTTCACCATGAACAAATAAGAAAATAAGAATCTCTAAAGTCACCAAATATAAGATTCAAATACCACAAACAGCTTAAAAAATACTTTCTAAACATGTGCAGTGTGAACGAGCTTCTCATACTCAGATGTAAACAAAGTGTTAATTTCTCCTCTAAATCCATCATATCTGTACCAAAACCCCAACTACTGAAGGTGGCAGTGAAATTTATCGCAGTTATTATTCTAGGTGTCTTCCACCTTACAGAACTGGAGAAACCCGGGAATCTGAAGCTGTCCCAGTACAAAAATTTCAGTACCTTTACATGTGAGTGTTGATTGGCATCATCAAAGTTTCTCTTTCTGTTATAAATGGCCTTACTCTTGAGCAGACTTTTTCCTCTGCCTTTCAGGTATCTAAGAATTTAATCCTATTAACTTCCACTTGAACCATGAAGGCCCAAAGATATGACAACTTCTTGTGTTATAGAAACCAAGAGGTTCTCTCTTTTCTAGTCTTCTACAGCAATACAAACTAAATGCCAGTCTAATACGACAAGGTAGAAAATGTCACTTTAAGAGGGCTGTATAACATGGTTCATATCACGTTTGCCGCCAGTCTTGATTCAGACTGTATTCATCGTGAGCCAGTCACTCTAGTCTCTTCCTTCCTTCTTCTGGGTCTTTATGTCTGTGAAGAGAAACTAATGGGTCTCAGTCTGGTGTAGCCCCAAGCAGCACCTGAGGCTCCCTATACTTTTAGGGAACCAAAATATTTTAGACCTGTCTTTAAAAAATAAGAGAGAGAGAGAAAATTAGCAAGATGATAGAATAAAGATTCTCTGGTATCACTCCCTCCCCAAAAATATAACTAGAAACTACTCAAAGACAAGAATATCACCCTGAATCCCTGAATACAACAGAACTTGGGAGAGAAGTGGAGAAACCCCCTTGGTACACAAAATCAAAACAAACCACCACCAGTAAGAGAAATAGCCATTTTAGACAACCCTCCCCCCAACCACCTTTTTTAAATCCTAATCAGCAGAAAAATGTGAGAAGTCAAGACTGGCCTAGCTTCCCAGCCTACATCTTTCTCCCGTGCTGGATGCTTCCTGCCCTCAAATATCAGACTCCAAGTTCTTCAGTTTTGGGACTCAGATGGGCTCTTCCTCCTCAGCTTGCAGATGACCTATTGTGAAACCTTGTGATCGTGTGCATTAATACTTAATAAACTCCCCTTTATATATCTAGCTATCCTATTAGTTCAGTCCCTCTAGAGAACCCTGACTAATACAGCTCCCTGCAGCATTCAGCAGTGGAATGTTGATCACATGTTGACCACTATTCCTTCTAAAAGGATCAAAGGGAGTAGTGACTATTCCTATTAGCCATACTAGAAAAAGTAAAACATAATAGGGCATTAGACAGAGCACTCAGGAAGCTCTGTCCTCAGTAGTGGTTGATAATTAGCCCCAGACTAAGCACTTCTTCAGAGCTACCTAACAAACCGTAAAATTGAGATCCAAAAGGATTAAAGTGGTTCCAAGCAGCTTAACTGTATCCTTGAACAATATTCAAGAAGATTTATAGGAATTATACAAATATTCCTTCAAGGTAAGCCAACAATGTAGAAATCAAAACATCTGAAATCCAATCAAAGATTACCAAGCATGTAAAAGAACAGAAAAACACAAACCTTCATGAGGAGAACAATCAGTTAATGGAAACCGAACTGTTTACAGTTACAGAAGAGTTACAAACTTCAGAATTAACAGAGAAACAGTTACCACAACTGAATTCCACATGGGCAAAAGGATAAGTTGAGTTTTAGATGATAAAAATACAAAACCAAATCATACTTTTAGAGTTTAAAAACTACGATATGTGAAATAAGCAAATAAACAAACAAAAAAGCACTGGTTGCCATTAATGGCAGATTAGAAATTGTGAAAGAAAAAATAATATACAGTAAATGCAAGTGGTTCTAGAGACTCTAAAGGGGAGAACTGGAGAAATTAAAAATATTTTGAAGATATAATGGCCAAAAGCTTCCAAAATTTCATGAAAAGTATACACTCACGGATACAAAAATCTTAGCAAGCTCAAAGCACAAAACATGAAGGGAATATACCAAGGTATATCAATGCTCAAAGTGGTCAGGGAGAAAACAGTGATAGGGAAAACCTTAGAAACGATCTCATAATAAAAGACATGTTATGATCAGTGCCAGGCACAGTGGCTCATGCCTGTAATCCCAGCAGTTTGGGAGGCCAAGGCAGGTGGATCACTTGAGGTCAGGAGTTTGAGACCAGCCTGGCCAACATGGTGAAACCTCATCTATACTAAAAATACAAAAATTAGCAGGGCATGGTGGTGCATGCCTGCAACCCCAGCTACCCTGAAGGCTGAGGTGGAGGAATGGCTTGAAACCAGGAGGTGGGGGTTGCAGTGAGCCAAGATTGGGTCACTGCACTCCAGTCTGGGCAAGAGAGTGAGACTCTGTCTCAAAAAAAAAAAAGTGTTATGACCAGAGAAACAAAGGTAAACTTGACATTAGGTTTTTCATCTGAAATAATATAAGAAAGACTACAATGTAAAAGCATCATTAAAGTTCTGAAAGTATGAAAAATGAAATTCCTGCAAATTCCATACTTTGCAAAATATCTTTCAAAACCTCAAGCAAAATAAACACAAAACATAAAGAATTTATCACTAGCAAATCCGTGTTGCAAGATATATTTTAAAAAGTTATACAAGTAAGAAGAAAATGAAGATCTACATCTATATAAAGGAAGAAAGAATGTTATAAAAGTTAGCTATGTATGACTTTTCTCATTACTGCTGGGTGCAGTGGCTCACACCTGTAATCCCAGGACTTTGGGAGGCTGAGGTGGGTGGATCACCTGAGGTCAGGAGTTTAAGACCAGCCTGGCCAACACGGTGAAACCCCATCTCTACTAAAACCACAAACATTAGCCGGGCATGGTGGTGGACATCTGTAATCCCAGCTACTTGGGAGGCTGAGGCAGGAGAATCGCTTGAACCTGGGAGGCGGAGATTGCAGTGAGCCAAGATTACGCCACTGCACTCCAGCCTGGATGACAGAGCAAGACTCTGTCTCAAAGAAAAAAAGTAATTATTATATACAGTATAATGTGGTTTACACCATATGTAAAAGTAAAATGCATGACAATATAAGCACAAAATCTGAGAGGAGATAGTAGTATATTATTGTAAGGTTCTTATGCTATAGAAGTAGTATATGAGTTGGTGGCCAGTTGCAGTGGTTCAGGCCTGTAATCCCAGCACTTTGGGAGGCCAAAGTGGTTGGATCACCTGAGGATAGGAGTTTGAGACCAGCCTGGCCAATATGGTGAAACCCCATCTCTACTAAAAAAACAAAAATTAGCTGAGCATGATGGCTGGTGCCTGTAATCCCAGCTACCTGGGAGGTTGAGGCAGGAGAATCACTTAAACCTGGGAAGTGGAGGTTGCAGTGAGCCGAGATCATAACACTGCACTCCCGTCTGGGTGACAATACCAAAACTCTATATCATGAGAAAAATAATAATAATAATAAAAATCCGTTGAAAGTAGGCTGTGGTAAATTAAAGATGTGTACTATAAATCCTAATGCAACCATTGAAGTAACAAAACAAAGAGTTATAGCTAAAAAGCCAACTAAGGAAATAAAATGGAACATAAAAAAGTACTTGATATGTCTAAATGAAGGCCAAACATATATCAAAAAACAGAACAAAGAATAGATGGGATAAATCCAAAAACAGCAAGACATTAAACTCAGACTAACCATATCAATAATGTATCATTAAATGTAAATGGTCCAAACACACCAATTAAAAGCCAGATGTAGACTGGATTTAAAAAAAGAGGACTCGACTGTACACTATCTATAATAAATGTATATTATATGAAAACACAAAGAAATTAACTGTAAAAGGGTGTGAAAACATACACCATGCTAATGCTAGTCAAAAGAAAGCTGGAGTGGTTATATCAATACTAGACTATATAGATTTCAGAATGAAGAATATTACCCAGGTTCGAGTCATTTCCAAATGATAAAGGGATCCATTAATCAACAGGACGGAACGATTCTAAACACTTAAGCCACTGAAAACATGGCTTCAAATTATGTGATGCAAACATGGAAAGAACTGAAAGGGGAAATGGACAAATCCATACTTGTAGCCTGAATTTTCAATATCTATTCTCAATAACTGGTAAATCAGGAAGGCAGAAAATCAGCAAGAGTATTGAAGACTTGAACAACTTTACAATCAACCTCCCCTAACTGACACTTAAAGAATGCACAGTGACAGCAGAGTACACAATTTTTTCAAGTGCACATGGATCATCCGCCAGGATATACCATATTTTCTGCCATAGTGTAGGTCAAGCAAAAAACCAAAAGGGAAGTTAGGAAATATTTTGGTCTGAATGAAAATAGTAACAGCATAACAAAACTTGTGGGATGCTATTCCAGCAGTATTGAGGAGAAAACTGATAGGCACTATACATCTATGTTAGAGGCAAAGCATGCCTATGATAAAAGACTATTATCCAGAAAACTCAACAATAAAAATGCAAATAGTGCAATTTTAAAATAGGCAAAGTTTTTTAACAGACATTTCAAAAAAGAAGATGTATGAATGGCAAACACATAAAAAAGATGCTCAAAATCATTAGTTTTTAGGGAAATGCAACTTAAAATCACAATGTGATACAGATAGACACCTATCAGAATGGCTAAAATTAAAATGACTGACTTTAATAAGTATTGGTAAAAATGTTGGGGAACTGGATTTCTCCTAGATTGCTGGTAGAATTGTAAATGGTAAACCAAATTTGGAAAGAATCTGCCAATTTTTACAAAAAAAGGTAAACAACATTCACAACGAAGTCCAGCCATTCCCTCCTAGGTATTTCCTCAAAAGAAAATAAATTTTTCTGCAGGCACTTTCTCACTTAGAGATAAAAAATAAATAAATAAATAAAAGAGTAAATAAATAAAATAAAATTTACGTTCATATAAAGACCTTTACATGAACACAGACAGCTTTATTTGTAATTGCCAAAATCTGGAAACAGCCCAGATTTTTACTGTTTATTCATTTATTCAGGTAGATGAATAAATAAATAGTGATAAAACCATTTAATAAAATGTCACTCAGCAATAAAAAAGGAATGAATTATTGATACACACAACAACATAAGTGAATCTCAAAATGATTAAGTGGATTGAAAGAAGCCAGACAAAAAATAGTATGTAGCATATTAGTCAATTTCTATAAAATGGGAGTTACCCTATAATGAAAAGAAAGTAAATTGGCCAAGAGCAGTGGGTGGCTCATGCCTATAATCCCAGCATTTTGGGAGGACAAGGTGGGCGGATCACCTGAGGTTGGGAGTTCGAGACCAGACTGACCAACATGGAGAAACCCTGTCTCTACTAGATAAAAAAAAAAAAAAAAAAAAAAATTAGCAGGGCATGGTGGCACATGCCTGTAATCCTACCTACTTGGGAGGGTGAGTCAGGAGAATCGCTTGAACCTGGGAGGCAGAGGCTGCAATGAGCCAAGATCATGCCATCACACTCCAGCCTGGGCAACAAGAGTGAAACTCCGTCTCAAAAAAAAAAAAAAGTAAATCAGTGGCTGCTTGGGGTGGGGACAGGAGGACTAACTTAAGGACATAAGGAAATTTGGTGGGTTTTGGGTATGTTGACTATCTTGATTGCAGTTATGATTTAATGGGTATAGATTTATGTGCTTTTGATATTAGACTATGTAAATATGTGCAGTTTATTGTATGTCAACTATACCCCAATAAAGCTTTTTTAAATATCAAAATATGAAGCCATATAACAAATCTTGGGTGGTGATTTGCTGATCATTTGTCAAACCCTTAGAATTTTCAGCTTGAAATTCTTTGCCAGGGAGAGAAGACAAAGTCTTGGCCCCACAGAAGTTGGGGAGCTGGAAAAGGGATCACCATACAACTTGTGGGTTTGAAAGATCTGAGGGCAGATCAAGAAAAAAAAAAAACATATATATATATATGACCATGATGTGGCAGTAGCACACAAGCTTTAGTTGGGTGGTGCTTGGACGAGTTTGTACCTGAGTGAAGTCCCTCCTAGCAGGAGATTTTCCATCACTGGGGCACAGAGGGGAGAGTATTCAGAAGAGGGAAAGGAGAATCAGAGAGGGTAATTATGTGTCTAGATGATGTCGCTCAGCGAAACAAAGTAGGCCCCCATGTTCCACAAGCCCTGCGTTAGCATGTGGACTATTCTCACAGGGGCTGAAACCAAGACTCATTGAATATTGGCCTTTAAATGAAAGTCTGATAATTGGCCCGACTCCAGGAATTTGTTCAGCTTGTCACTTTATACCCAAATAGTGAGCGTGAATGCAAGACACACAGAAAAGAATACATAAAGTTGAATGGTGCAAAGCCTAAAAGGAAAATAAAATACGAAAGTCATGGCAGTATACAAAAGGGAGCTGTGTATTGAGGGCACAATCTACTCAAGAGAAGAAAGCATGGAAGTTGGATGAGGAAGGGATATAAAAGGATAAAAGGGAAAGGTAAAAATAGCGGATGTGGTTTTGCATGCCTGTGACCTTAGCTACTTGGAAGACTGAAGTGGCGGGGTTACCTGCAGTGAGCTGGGTTTATGTCACAATTTGTTTGAATTTAGTGTTGATCCCTATTGAATGAAATTACTCTGAGGATAGATCCTATTGTTCCATCTCAGTTATACTTTTATCTGCAAGATTTTATTTTTAATTAGAAAAGAGGAGGTTGGAGAAGGGAGTGAAGGAAAAGCACTGAAAAGGAAAGAAAAGACAGCAAAACCTAGGAAGAGGGATAGGAAAAGGAACTGGAATTCAGAAAATATATGTAGAAACCTAAAGGATACATTTCACCCGCTTCAAGGTTTTGCCCAGAAAATGTTACCAAGACCCAACAAATCATATGCTAGGGACAACCTACCTGTTCCTGTTCAGTTTCTATTCAGATGTTGAGGGCTCAGTTTACCTGGTAACACCCAAAATTCTATGAAGACAACAAGGACCACAGAATTACCACAGAGAACTAGAAAAAGAAACTCAGCTGAAAAATAGCCACCTAAGATGGAAGAAGCCATGAGATGGGTACGCTTTGCCTACTCACAAGGTTGCAAAATGCCCTTCACTTATGATTATCCCCCACCCCCCTCCTAAATCTGATCAATCAGCTAGAACTTGATGGTTACAGAAGACAAAGCTAAAAAACTAGTACAAGTGCACCTTCTTCTTTGATATGAACTTGAACTATGTCCAAATAAGCAATGAACAGCTGAAGTCTCTCAACTGAAAAGATCAGGACAGAGAGTGCTCTCTACAGCTTGTGACCCACTCATGCCTTCTCTAGGTCACTGGATGAGTCTCTGGCTCTCACTTCCAGGATTGAAATGCCATAGCTCAGAATTAGTGATGACATAATCTGGCCTCTACTTTCCAATTGCCCCTTATTTGTTACTACTTCACAATACAAATTCTCCCCTCCAACATTGACTATAATATAGCCATTTCCTATACTACCTAAGAAATAGAACTCAGACTAATAGATTTGGAAAGAACTTGAAAGATTATCTAATTCAAGATCCTCCCTTTCCCAATGAGAAAACTAATGATAGAGAAGACTTCATGAAATCACCAGAATTAGGAGCCTCTCTTTCTCTTCCTTCTCCTTGTAGCTATAAGGATACTACACCCATAGCTGAATGTGGGGAAACTAAGCAATAAGTTCGATTGTAAGAACTAAAAAGAGAAAGGAATTAGTAGTCTGGCTCAAAGTCCTCTCTGTTCCTTCTGGAGATGCAAAGAGAAGATCACTGAGCTCTGAGAGTCTCAGTCCCCTGGGAAATCCTTATCCATGCCGCTTTAAAGTCTTGAAGGGAAACAGTTTCAGACCTTGCTTTATTTCAAGACACAAAAATAGCTGCTGAACAGGAACAAATGCAGCTTGAGTTGTATAAGCCATCTTTTAAAAAGACCCTAAGAGGTGATCCCAGTTGCTTCTCCAGCTAGGAGCAGGGCTAGGATTAGGCTGAGGTTAATGAGACACTCATTCCAAGACCAAAATTTAAGAGAGTACCACAAAACACAATAATCAAGATAAATAATATTTTAATGCAACATTTTTAGAAAATAAATTTTGATTGATTGATTGACTTTGAGACAGAGTCTTGCTCTGTTTTCCAAGCTGGAGTGCAGAGGCATAATCTTGGCTCACTACAACCTCCATCTCCTGGGTTCAAGCAATCCTCCTGCGTCAGCCTCCCAAATAGCTTGGATTACAGGCATGCACCACCACACTTGACTAACTTTTGCATTTTTGGTGGAGACAAGGTTTCACCATGTTGGCCAGGCTGGTCTTGAACTCCTGATCTCAAGTGATCCACACACCGCAACCTCCCAAAGTGCTGGGATGACAGGTGTGAGCCGCCACACCTGGCCAGAAAATAAATGTAATGCAAAAAAATACCTGATGAACAAATGCTAAAATTTTAAATACCAGGATCTGACCCTGCACTAGTAAAACTCATGTAACTCATCTTATCCTAATCCTAGCCTTGTCAGATTGGATCTTCAAAATTTTGTGATAGATATTTTGAGGATCCAAGATTTTTGCATTAATTTTGATTTTTTTAAAATACTGAGATCAAGGCCAGGTGTGGTGGCTCATGCATGTAATCCCAGCATTTTGGGAGGCTGAGGCAGGTGGATCACCTGACATTAAGAGCTTGAGACTAGCATGACCAACATGAAGAAACCCTGTCTCTACTAAAAATACAAAATTAGTCAAGCATGGTGATGCATGCCTGTAATCCCAGCTACTTGGGAGGCTGAGGCAGAGAATCACTTGAACCTGGGAGACAGGTTGCGGTGAGCCGAGATTATGCCATTGTGCTCCAGCCTGAGCAATAAGAGTGAAACTCCATCTCAAAAAAAGAAAAAAATGAAATCAATTATATTTATCTAGGTTACTAGGTTTTTGGTTTTTTGGTAGCCTCTTAAATTTTACACCGCAAGTGAGTTTCTCACTTACTTTGTCTTAATCCCAGTTCTGTCTCTCATGAAATGACCAGAGACAAGAGACAAACAAATTGAAACATATGTACAATTTATGGTTTAATTCAGTAAAGATTCTTTTATTGGAGCAGAATAAAACAACCCAAACTCAGCAATACGGGAAGGATAAATTCCTTACCAGCGCCTTCCCCTTCTCCTCAAGGCATTGCCCCATGTCCACGTTCAGGTCTGCCTCAGGGACAGCCAGCTCCAATACCATTGAGAAAAGAGAGCTCAGACTCAGGCACTGATCTTGAGTTATTTAATATATCCCTGGAAACTATCTGGCCCCAACTCATCACAAGTGATAAGAACAAACCCCTCTACGGGGAAATAGCGGTACCTACAGGCAGGGTATCTTGTGCCTTCAATGAGCTGACAGACTGTCATTTTGAACTTTGTCTCACTCTGAAAGCAGAAAGTGGATGAAAGGTTTTGACAAGCTACCTTCTTGGGAGAAGTGCAAAGACCATTGATTTTTCGAGGCCTCTCATGGATGAAGACATGCTCCTTTTTACAAGTGTGGTCGGGCTCCCTGATGATTCTTTGTATGATCATGTGGTTGCAGTACCTTGCCGGAACAGGAACACCTTCCTGAGGGTAGTCCACATGCAAGTGTTCTAAGGTTGATATCACTACTTCATTATTCATCTCATTTTCCCAGAACAGAAGCACCAAGAAAATGATCACCATTATCACCATCAGAGGTGAGAGTGCCTTCACATCTTTGGCTTTAACTGCTGTTGAGTAAGATAAGACAGAAAGTAGCAAAGGACAGTCAGATTCCTCCTGCTCCAACTTCTGGCTGCTGCCCCATTTTTGGAATATTTTTTTTCCTTCTCTCTGCTAAATAAAATCACGCTGACCTTGCAAGATCCAGCTGGAGGCATAGTTCCCCAAGAAAGCCCTTTCTGACTATTTCAGCTCTCAGAGTCTGATACTGAGCTGTTCTCTAAATTATTCCTGTTGTGTTTGTTTTGTTTCTACAAGTTCTTTGACAGCAGATACCACATCTCTTATTTCTCAAATCCTTCAAAGTGCTCAACATAGAGCTGGACATATAGAAGGTGGTCAAGGTTATTCAAATGCCTGAATAACCGTCTTTCCCATAATTTTCTCAACCCTAACTCTACCCAATTTACATGAATTTAGTACCTTCTACTCATCTGTTCTTCCCAATTCCTTCCAAGTCCCTCCCTCTGTCAGTCCTGCTTGGCTCTGAGCTAGCTCCTCTCACCTGTCATTTTTCTGGTGGCTCTCACAGGTAACATAGCCTTTTGATCGTGAATTTGAGAAAATTGCTTGTGTCTTGCAGTTCCCTGAAGATAACTATTAGAGAGCCAGTTGAATGTGGGGAGGGCCGAAGTAGAAAGAGCAGAAAGGAGGGACCTGCAGAGGGTGTGCTTAGGCACCACTGTGGAGGGAGACAAGTTACCTTCAGCAGGAGAGTCAGGTAAGGCAGGTCCTGAATGTGTTCTCATTAAACAAGTGTGGACTTTTCAGAACATTTAGTGAAGTCCAGTGTGTACCAGCCACAGTACTGTCTCTGTTCTAAATTTTTAGTCAGTCCTTATGACAAATACATGAAAGTTTTCATTTCATTCACAAATAAATGAGTTGCAGAAACGTTAAGGTGGAGATGGGAAGTGAGAAAGAAAGCAAGAGTCCCACCCTGTCAGTGCCAAACACTTGAATTCCAGTGTTAGCAAGTTTCATTCCCACGTGGTGTCCAGGACAGGACAAAAACAATTCCCTGGTAATAACATTAATCTTGATAAAGCCCTGGTCTTCTGAGGAGCATGGAAATAGTTCCCAAACTGCTGAACATTGGAATCAACTGGAGATTTTTTTAAAAATTGTGGCTTCCACCTTGATACATTCTGCTTTAATTGATATTGTGGGTGACCTGGGTTGGGGATTCTTAAAGGATTCTCAAGTGATTCTAACATACAGCAAAATTTGGGAACTACTGAACCATGGTATACATGGGAAACCTACATGGGAGATCAGTGAATAGGGCTTAGTAAAAAGACAGTGGTTCAAGGTATTGAGACAAGAGAATCCTTTTTGTTGCTATCATCTCCCAGTGAGTTGATACAAGAATTGGCAAATGGACTGAGTTTTACTACCTCATGCCCTGAAGTCATTTCTCTTCCAGACCAACGGCTACAAAATCTCCTCTGTGCATATCTGTATCTTTCTAATTGGTAATAAGAAAATGATTGCAGGGTAAAAAAATTATTTAGGAAAAACAGAATCCTGGAAAAGACTTCAAAGAATGCATCCCTTTCTATACAACAATGAAAGCAGAATTTCAAATTGTGCAAATGAGCAAAAATGTCCATTCTGGGTGTCCTTTCAGAATTCAGACTATCCTGTTTTGTATATGTGTTACCCAATGCCACGAAGTTATAAGTGCATGCTTAATTTTTGACACGATTTTCAATTAACAAAATTTGATTTTGTACATCTTGCAGTAACATTTCCAATGTATAAAGAGAAGTGTATCTATGAACTGTAACATGTTTGTTATTTCCTGCCAGAACTTTCAAGTAGCTGAAGTACAGATGCTTTACTAAGTGTACAGGCAGAGAAGCAATCCCTGTTATGAAGATTTTTCCCCAAAGGAGGCAACTGAACTGATCCCTAGAGTATTATACTGCAGAGGAGTTGAGACTGAGTCCAAATGTTAACTAGTGTGGCAGCTTGGAAGAAAATATTTGCAATACCTAAAACCACCTAAGAATTAGCATCTACATATAAGGAACTCCTTCATGTCAATCCTAAAAAGACAGGAAACCCCAGGGGGGGAAAAATTCTCAGAGAAAAGCCAATTTCAGAAGATGAAGCCAAAATGGGTAATGAGCAATGCTCCACTTCATTAGTAATCAAAGAAATGGAAGGGAAAATAACAAAGAGAGAGTTTATAACCGTCAGATTGAAAAAAATGATTACCAAGAATTAAAAAACAGATACCATCAAGCGCTGGTAAAAACACTGCTGGGCATAAAAACTGGTGTGGCAATACTAGAAAGTAACCTGGAAATGTTTGGTAAAATTAAGAATTTGACCTGAGACCTCGTAATCCCACTCCTGGGTGTAGACTCCAGCCAAACATCACAGTATTGTTTCTATATCAAATTAAAACTAATTCAGAATGGGTGCAGTAGCTAATGCCTGTAATCCCAGCACTTTGGGAGGCTGAAGCAGGCAGATTACTTGAGGCCAGGAGTTTGAGACCAGCCTGGGCAACATGGCGAAACCCTGTCTCTATAAAATAAACACAAAAATTAGTGGGGTGTGGTGGTGCATGCCTGTAGTACCAGCTACTCAGGAGGCTGAGGTGGGAGGATCACTTGAACCCAGGAGGTAGAGACTGCAGCGAACCAAGATCATGCCACTGCACTCCAGCCTGGGTGATAGAGTGAGAGTCCGTTCCACAAAAACAATTAAAACTAAGTTTGAGTCTTTTGGTTACTATATGTCCAGATGAAGTAGAGAGATTAGGGCCTGTACTTTTCCAGAACAAGCTGCTCCTGATCTTGGGCAGGACATGCTCTGATGAAGCCATCAACCTCAGCCCTGCAGTTACAGCACTGTGCTATGCACATGGGAAGCCCTGTTCCCCCTTGGGGGGTAAACAAGTCATTTATTGCTTTACAACTTTCCTCCTGTGTCTGAAATGATTGCCACCAGGCAATAGCCCAAGGAAGACCAGGCTAAGGGACCGTTTCCTAAGCATGTGGTTCTAACAACTTCTGGGTAGGCCTGTGCCTTCAGTTTTCCACTTCTGAGAATACTTTGATCATAGCCTATCTGGCTTCTCCTGTGTGTCCCCAGGCTCAGCCCTCAGTATTTCCCTTTGAATTCACCTTGGAGAACAACCATTAGCCAGCCTTCCCCTATGGCACCTCCTAGACATTCATGTCTTTCATTGCACTCCCAGGCTTGAAATAACATGAATAATTGTACCCTGACCCCAAATAATCATGAAGGCTCTAAAGAACCCAGATGTGTTACCAATAGAAACTCCCTTTTCAGAAGCACCGGACTGGAGCAGAATGAGCAGTGAGCTGAGAGTCATGAAAGCTGGATTCCTGGCTTGACACAGGTCCTTGCCACTAACTAGCTCCGTGACCCTGAGCTTCACCCCATGGGCCTCACTGGCTTCCTTTGAAAGTAGCCGGGAGTTGGCAGAATTGGTGGGATGGAGGAGGTGAAAACAACTCATAGTTTTAGAGGTGAAAAAGCCCCTAAAAAACCCCTCAGACTGTACCATTCTCTGAAGCAGGGCTCCATGCGTGTGTATTGGAAAGCTGAAACATAGCTCCCGGGGGCTTATTGTCAACCCCATCTCACCACAGTCATCTTTTCAAAACATAAATCCAGTTACGTGCCTGTGATATCCACTTTCACCATCTAAAATGTGTCAATGGCTTTTCATTAGTCAGAAGAAAATGACCACAGCCCTCACCTCTACCTACCAGGCCTTGCATAGACAGCCCCACCACAAACCTCTCTCTCCGTCTTCATATTCTTGCCACGCACTCCTCTTTTTAGTTCCCTCAATTCCTCAGGCTTCCTTCCAACTCAAAGTTTTTGTTTGTTTTTGTTGCTGTCGTTTGTTGTTGTTTTGAGATGGAGTCTCGCTCTATTGCCCAGGCTGGAGTGCAGTGGTGTGATCCCAGTTCACTGCAACCTCCGCCTCGTCAGATCAAGCGATCCTCCCACCCTGCAGCCTCCCAGGTAGCTGGGAGTGCAAGTATGCACCACGATGCCCAGATAATCTTTGTATTTTTACAAGAGATGAGGTTTCACCATGTTGATCAGGCTGGGCTCAAACTCTTGACCACAAGTGATCCACCCACTGTGGCCTCCCAAAGTGCTGGGATTACAGGCACGAGCCACCAGACCCAGCCCAACTCAAGGTTTTTTCTTTTTACTTTTTCCTTTCTTTCTTCTTCCTTTTTAAACATATCTGGCTCTCTCACTGTGGAGTGTTTCTCACTCCACTCATCTTCCCCATTCTGCCTGGGTGAACCTATACAGCCTCCCTTCCTTCCTCCTTAGACAGGTCTTCCCAGAAAATCCAGAGTAAGTGAAGTGAGGTCTGCTTTGCTTGCATGAAAGCATGTAATTTCCCTTGTGGTCCTTATCACTAACATAATAAATTTATTGTATCTCATAGCTTTAAAAAGTCGTCTGACTGTTCCATGAGGGCAGAGACAACATCTTTCTGGTCTCCTGTAGAAATCTCTGTTCTAAGCACAGTGCCGGAATACAATAAATGTTCAACAACTATTTGCTCCTTAAATATTGAGTTCCTGAAATAACGTAGTATGATGGCCTAAAAGAGCTATATTTTGCTCTTTATAGTATCAGAGAGGTTTTCTTTATAAAACTCATTCAACTTTTTTGAAGTTACTTTAGTGGAACCAAATAGCTTCCTATGGACATAAGATCAGAAAGATCAATAAAAGGACAGAAAAATGTTGATTAATTCCTCCTTACTATTCAAGGCCTTAAATCTAGTATTGTACTCTGAATCTCTTTTCGGCTGTTAAAGACCCAGTCAGGGCTGGGCGTGGTGGTTCACACCTGTAATCTCAGCACTTTGGGAGGCTGAGGCAGGCAGATCACAAGGTCAAGAGATTGAGACCATCCTGGCCAACATGGTGAAACCCCACCTCTACTAAAAATACAAAAATTAGCTGGGTGTGGTGGCGTGCACCTGTAGTCTCAGCTACTTAGGAGGCTGAGGCAGGAGAATTGCTTGAACCTGGGAAGCAGAGGTTGCAGTGAGCCAAGATTGGGCCACTGCACTCCAGCCTGGTGCCTGGCAACAGAGCAAGACTCTGTCTCCAAAAAAAAAAAAAAAAAGCAAGACCTGGTCGGGGTTTGCTTTATTAAGTGTACAGGCAGAGAAGTGGCTGCCAGCTCTGCTCTGCTTTGCTTTGCTTCTGTATCCATGAGATGCCATCTGCCTTCATAAGCAGTTCAGCCTTGTTGCGGGAGCACCGCTTCCCTGGACAACAACACAGCTCTCTCCCATAGTTCCATCCCCATCCTATGCACACAGAGAATCAGCAAACAGAAGTGAGGCCCCTGGAAATTGACAGTTTCATCTACAAAGTCTTCGAGACCCTAAATGGAAGACCCACACAGTACCTGCTTTATCCACAAGGGGCAGATTCCAGTTGGACTTCACAAAAGTGTGAAGGGTGCCTAAAGCAGAAACCCTTGCCCTATTCACACGTATTTTGTGACCTGTCCCTGTCCCATACATTCCTCCTTCTATCCTCCAAGCACACCAGCAATGTTTTCTTAGGACTCATGCTTATCTTAGATGAAT